TACCTATCTTGAAAACCTGTTCCTTCTAACTGAGGGAAGAGCATGCCAAGGGCAGGGGGTGAGGGAGACATTCACACTTGTTTTTCTGGTCCTTGTTAAATTCCTCTTGGCTTTGGAGGACAATGGAGAGCTGTATTCCCTGCCTCAGGTACTAAGAAAGTTTAGAGAGATTGACAAATGAGAGTTAGGCATGCTGGGTGCCATCAGACTGGGCAGCTTCTCTAAAAGCACATTCTCTGGAAATACATTCTCAGAACTCTGGGGCACAGCTACTAAGTTGGTCAGGAAAGGTGTTCTTGAAGTAAACAGTGTGGGAGCTGTTTCTCAGAGGATAAGAAGAGGGCCAAGGAAGGGGAGGGGAGTAAGAGAGAAGGGGAGAAGAAAGAAGAAGAAAAGAAGAAAGAGAAGAGAACAGGAGGAGAGAGAGGAGGAGGAGAGAGAAAGGATGGGGAGGGGAGGAGGCAGTGTTTGTGAGTGTACTGAGTAGCCTGGTAGAAAGGAAGCCGTCCTCAAGAAGAATGTCAAGTCTTTGAGGCTGGCCAGGGCAGGGAATGGATAACATCTCGATAGAAAATGAAGTCCAGATCCTTGTGAGATACAGAGCTGCGAAATGAACAGAGGAGGTGGGGTATCTACCTTCTGGGGGTGGGGCAGTGGGGAAGTGAGCTGTGGGAGGGGGCACAAGAAGCTTTGCTTCCAGGTGTGAGATTATTAGAATCTGGAGGTTGGGGCATCAAACAGGGAAGAAGGTTTCTAGTCTGGGAGATGGGTTCTGATGCCTTTCACTGAGCTAGGGAGACTGGAGAGGCAGGAGATAGCGAGGTGGTGGTCGAAGTTCACAGGTCAGATATTTTCTTTGGCGCAAAGAGCTCCAGGTGGGATGTGAAGGCAGAAGTGAAGGCCTTGATGAAGATGCTCTGCAATGGAATGCATGCGTGAACCCTGACCTTACAGGACTCACGGAGCAAGTGAGGAAAGCTCTCAGAAACTCTCCAGCCACATCATCAGAAGTGGTGGCTTTCCTTCTTCCTCCCAGGGTGAGAAGGCAGCAGCCGGAAGCTCCTGTAACTAAAGCTGGCCTATCTTAGCACAGGAACAAAGGGTGTGCACAGACCAGCACAGCAATCTCCCTGGCGGCATCTCTGCCCGGGTCCAACAGAGTCTTCACGGGATTCCTCCCTTTGTGATAGTATGTTTAAGTCCCACGTGTTTTGAATCAATCTGCCCCACCACTTTCCCCTACAAAACGTCTTTAAAACTTAAATTTTATCTAGAGCTCAAAATTGGGTCTGCATTAGAAAGGATAGATTTAAGTCATGGACGGCTACATAATAATTAAGTGGGGGAAAGGCTACAGGCTAAGTGGTCCTCAGAGAGCAGCAGTGCATCTAAGCACGTGTGACTTCCCACTGGAGGAAAGTCAGCCTGCTTAAACAACTTGTTGAACCTAGCATCTCAGAGTTACCTGACCTTGGAGGGACCTCTCCAGAGCACATGCACAAATAGCTGGTTAGATTCCACAGAACTAGAACCTTATAGTGCATCCATGATAAGAAACGGCTTAGCCATTTGACAAGAAGAAATAAGTTTGGGGTGCTCTTATTCGCATCAAGTACTTACATTTCCTACAAAAAAAATGTCAGCTAGGTCGCAGCCAGTGTCCCAAGTATCTCCATTGATATGGCTTCACAAGTAAATGCCTCCTAAACCGACATGGTGCCAACTACCTCCCAACGGAACTCCAGGTACAGGCAAATGTTGATATAATGTTTATTTTTTTTTTATTGTATACACCTTACACTTGTTCATTCAAATACTGATTTCTCCCCCACCCTACCCCCAACTCTTTGGTTTCAATCCAGATATTGCATTGTGATACTCATTCTAAGCATCCTGTCTCAACTCTTGTGTAAACAGGACAAAATAAAGCAACTAGACACAATGTTGAGCAGGGAGGAGCCAGAAGGCAGAGAGATGAGTGGGAGGAGAAGGGGCAAGAGGAGAGCTAGGAGAGCTAGGAGAACAGAGCTGGAGGAGAGATCTTAGAGGACGTGGAGCATGAACCAGACCTAAGATTTCACAAAAAGCAAGTATAATGTGGGAAATCTAAATGTTAGGAAACGGAGGGCTTGGAGGTTTAGGAGGGAGTAAATATTGCCCAGCATTGTGTTCTAGGTTAACTAAAAACCCAGTCTCTGTGTGGTGATTTGGTTATACAGCTGTTTAAGATTAACAGCAAGCTTTACTAGAAGATAAACTAATAGTAAATATTAATAACTTCATACAACAGGCAAACCTGAGGAAATTGACCCAGCAGTCTCTAACGAAGCATGCCTTAACAACTGAAAGGTATCTGGTACGCTGAGGACCTGATAAAAGGTACATGGTCATTTGTTCCTTAGGGGGAACAATGCCATATTTCAAATGTTTCACCTAACAAATAAGATCAAAGAGTGCACTGCCTCCCCCCACCCCAATCCCAGGTGAAGACTCCCTCTTCTCTAATGCATTAAAAACAATTTAAACCTAGTTAATGATGGCCAATGTAGCAATGCTCTTGAAATCTGAAGGTGCCTAGCACATGGAAGATCACATCTAGGTCAATGACTGGAGCCAATGCCCAGTGCCAGCTGAACACCACATACCAGTTTTTTCTGGTTTTGCATTGGCCTTGGCTTCCCAAGGTCAGTTGTCATGTGGTTTGAGGCTGCTCTTCCGTAAATCCTAGAGTTTTCTCCTGAAATTCATTCGTTCAACAGTCTTACTTGAACCCTTATCAAAGGAGCTGCCCAAGAGTGAGGGCTTCTGGAGAGAAACCCTGCTTATGGTGGAGAGAGCAGAATCTGAGGTATTGATCACCCCCCACCCGTATCTCATAAGCTAAGAACTGAGAAAACATGTGTAGTCACTAGCTAGCTATCTAGTTACGGAAAAGCCACTCCACGTCTTCAGTTGATGAACTTTGAAATACATACAGTTATCCCATCTGCCCTGTGCCACATTGCTGTTTGATGAACCAGTACGGTAACACACATGAAAGCACTCCGGAAGCCGCAGGATTCCGTGCAAACATGGAGGAAGTTGGTGATGCTGGCCAAGATCCATAACTTATTTAATAAATAAGAATAGTTAACTGAAACAACTAAGGCCAATGAGCACCTTCTCGAAGCAACGGTTCTGCTTTCACTGCCCATCACCTGTGCTCAGTGAGCTCTAGCTGAAGGCAGTGAGTTAGGTTTTCTACGGGAAGTATCTCTCAGTCATATATATATATATATATATATATATATATATATATATATATATA